GGTGATTGAGGAAAGTTTGGAAGACATTTTGAAAATGACTGGTGTGAAATAAATTCAAAAGGAATTGGCCCAGTTTAATTGGTAAATTTTGCAATGGTGTATTAAACAAATTCAAAAAGAGTTGGCTTAACCTTTTCTTATCGCTGTCGGTTCACATTGTATTGATTTTCAATCAATGTGTTTTTGTTCTAAATATGCATGAAATGCTTGCCACTGAACGTTAATCAAACAAGAAACTATCAATCTCATCATGATGTATATGTGGTAATATGTCAATTTGGATACTTTTGCTTTTTGTATCATATTTTGATATTTGATATTATATATTTGATGAGTTAATAATTCTAATTCCAAGTACCTATTGAATAGTTTCTAGTCATGTGTAAGTGGTTATATTTATCGTAAGACTTTGATTGGGTATTTGTTTACTCTCTATGTTTTACTAGTTTGTGTTATGAAAATTCCCTTTTCTTTGTGATAATTGGTTAATGAAGTCAAATGTCTTTTTGAAGGGAAATTCCTTTATTTGGTTAGAATTTGCTTATATTTTGAACTGAATAGTGCTGTGCTGTTCCTTGATATAATTGGTATTAATATTTGGTGGACATGTTTGATTTTATCAAACGAGGTCAGTTTTCCCACATTCCTACTAATATACAATGTACTGATATGAATGAATTGTAAAGATGATTTTGTATGAATATAATGGTCAAAATGAATGATTTCAGATTAAAAGGTGCATTTTAAAGATTAAAACATATAAACATATATAAAATATTGGTTAAATTATAAACTAATTGACAAAGTCAAGATAATCATTTTGTAAGTATTTAAGCCAAATTATATGAATATCTCAGTTTTAGTGAAAAGAAGAAATAGTAATAACCTTATAACGTAAAAGTAAATAGATAAAATGGTTTTTGGTATCAAAATAATAATTTGTATGTTAAGACATATTTTTGTATATACACAAACTATTATTAACAAAAACAGTTAATATTATGTTTTAATTACAGATATTGAACGATACTGTTCCAATATTGTACTTGATGTAGTACCATAGGTTCCCGAGTTTGTTTGTATACAGGACCCTTTGTACCTCATACATGGTATGTTTTGTATTCTATTCATATGTGTGTGTGTGTTTTTTTGTTTGTTTGTTTGTGTGCTTAACATGGATCTTAAGTTCGGCTATAATATATTTTTAGCAAGCTTATTGTGTTATGTTGTTGTACGATTTGCTTTATGTGTACTAATACAAATGCAATGGTGTTAGCCATTATTGTTAAAATTTACATCAGTAGAATATTTGGCAGAACTTATTGTGAAGATGTATAATTCATGATGAGTTCAAAATTTCTCACGGTTTACATTTTTATACATAATTGTATAAGTCCAAAACATGGAGAACAACAGTTTTCCAGTAGGAAATAGTTAAGTACTGAATTTTTGATATTGTCAACTAAATTGAACAGATACTTTTCATTTGATACCTAACTTGCCAAAATGTATTCTACATAGTTTGATATTTGCGCCTATGTGTGGGTTCTAATTGTTTAAAATATGTACTACTTTCCAGTTCCAGTATGTTCTTTTTGACAGGGCCCGATTTGGTGTTGGTCTATCCGAATTATTTTGCAAAGAATTGTTATAATAACTTTTATAATATTATATTATTACAATGTAATTTCATTCATATTTCTAAGGTACAAGAGAGACGAAAGATACCAAAGGGATAATCAAACTCATGAGTCAAAAATGAACTGACAATGCAATAGCAAAAAATAAAACACGACCAAGAGACAAACAACAGCATACAAAACACAACATAGAAAACTTAAGACTAAGCAACATTAAACCGACTAAAAATCGGAAGGGTAAGCATGTCCTTCTCCAAATGGTGCACCCATCATGTTGCTCATGTCCGTACAAACCCGTCGATGAGTCGTATTCGGTAGGTCACAATCGAGGAAAAGAGGACAGGTGGTTACGACAATTGGAATATATCCGTCATTTCAAATATAGAAACGTCAAAACGGTCAACCAACTCGTGATGGCGTCCATACAAATTTCAAAGGGATAAGTTCAACTTCACCAATTAAAAATCTTGGTTTAAAAGCTTCCTTGTAAGCAGCAACCCTGAATAAAAGAAATCATGATATTAAATACAATCTTTGGTATTGTATCAACTGGGAATATATACACAATATCCGCGCGCTGCAGGAATGTTGCTACATAGAAATGGAAATTGGGAAGCTGAATTCATCTCTTTTTGTCGTAAAGTATTTTTTTTTCTCAACCGACCCTCATTATAAATTTCTAGATGTAAGTCAAGATATGCGGCAGATTTAACTGTAGATATTGTATCCTTTATTTCGAGTTCGACTGGATAGATGCGTTTTACATAGTCACCAAACTTTGAACTATTTAATAAGAGGACATCATTTATATAGTGGAACGTTAAACTAAAGGATAATTCTACCTTCTTTTACTCTTCTTAAGATGCTCCTGTATGAAGTCTGCCGTATATGAATAAAAGAACAACTTGGCAAGAAGAGGAACACAGTAGGTTCCCATGGAAATGCCGATTGTTTGTTGAAAAACACGTCCTTTAAACGTAACAAATATGTTGTCAATCAAGAAATTAAGTATCTTGATAATGTCAGTTTCAGAGATTTTTAGTTTGAATCCGAGCGGTTTTTTACAAAGTCCGATTTATCTCTCTCTAAGACAAGGTGGCTATTCTTTTTCATGAAACAAAGCAGGACCCATTTTTCAATTTGTCTGCTACTTTGGGATGGGGAATACTTGTGTAAAGAATAGAAAAGTAGAATGTTTTAATACTATTGCAAGAGGAAAGAGATTTAGATTATACTCCAATAGATCTTTGGATTTTTTGTATCATCAACATCTGGTTCACACCTTACCGAGAGTAGATAGTTTCACAATAACTCAGAAGTCCGGCTTTGCTTGCTGATACAATTGGTGTCAATAATTATCTATAATGAGGTTTCGTGAAGCACTTGGACAACCCAGCAATATAACGTTGTTTGTCAGGACACTGATGTAATTTAGGTATCCGAAACAGTGAAGGAAGACCCAGTTCTTCATCTTTGGTTGAAATTCCTAAATGCAGTTTTTAATGTGATTTCCTAACAAAAACGATGTTGTTTAGGGCTCTATATAACATATTTATCATGGAGGTATGACAGCAGTATTTTAGTCTTTAAAGACCGATGTAGCATGTCGTCGTGTGAATCTTATGCTACTAATGATGTACTTCTTCTAATAGTGGTAAAAATTTAGATTTAAGTTTAAAAGAGGAATATCATAATTATTTGAATGAGACATAAAAAGTTACATAGGAATCGAATTAACGTACATGAAGAGTAACTCATTGTTCGATTGTTCTTTTTTAACAAACCTGCAACTAAGATAACCTTTTCTGGAGATACTTCACTTCACTACAAATAATGTTGTTATATGAATTTATCCCTATTTTCATGGAGATAGACCATGGATTTTTCCACTGTGTAATATTCCTAATTCTGGACTGCTGGAATTTGCAAGGATTGCTCATAGATTGAGCTCAAACCATGCAAACAATTTAAGCATAGTACTACTAAGATAACAAAACTTTTGATAACAATTATTTTACAGCAAAAATACCTGAAGAATAGTGGAGATACAACACCACAAAATATTTTTCTCTGAACAAACTAAATAAATAGACAAATTTGAGTGTGGAGATGGCTTAAGGTTGTGTGGTCGTTTTAACAAATTAGAATTAAAACTGAATGGGTCACGATGTGTATTCGTCGTATGAATCTTAAAGTGTTATATGTCCACTTTTGATAAAAATGGAGATAGCTACATGTATATGTTTGATATCCAAGTGCAATGGTCCATCTCCCTATACAACAGTAATACGAGATTTCTATACCCTCATTCTGAAAGAGTGTGTACATTTTTTTTTGCGTTAAGTACATTGCCAGTCTCAATCTTCTACTGAGTTAAGTTAGTATTTTGAAGTTGTGTTTCCAACTGACGGATTTAGGCTCATGATATTTAGGGCCTTTGGATAACACATTTCGCATAGAGTTTTCAGGTCACCAGTAATAACGTGGTCAGCCAGATTATATATGAAAGGGGAACTAAAACAAGTGCAATAAGGAGGTTTAGACTTGAAGTAGTTAATATTTAGATCCTGCAATACGTGTTTTAATTGAAAATTTTAGCCGCAATTGGTTTGGTATATGTATATGGTACATATGGATCTTTAAAAAGGGAAAGTATTTTCGAGTGATTTATGAAGAAGGATATTGCCAAAGTTGATAACATAGAGACCTTTGTTGTTTAGTGCGACTTAATTCTTTTTTTTTAAACGGCACTATTGTAAAATACATTCAGGGGAAATTGTCCTCTATTCCTTTTACTTTCTAATTCTTTTTATAGGGTGATACTCGAATTTTCTCGTTTTAGTTACATTTTGAGCAAAACTGTATCTAGTGCCTTTTTAAAAAGTAATCTTAGTCCGATCATGGTACATGTACATGTGCTAAAGATGATGTGTAACATTGTTCGATAAAAGCCCTTGTGCCAAATTTCACTTCACATTCTGAAACATGTTCTTGGGGTAAAATAAACTAATTCTCCTATCTAAGTGCACGCGCCGAGCTTAATAGACCGTCTACGGACAAATGCATATATTTATTCAAATGTTTCAACATTATTCCTTTAGAAACCCACAACATCAACCTTTAAACACTTTTGTGTTGACACGATTTATCATTGATATTGCCGTATTTATAAATTCGCTAATAACAAAACTTTAATTTGTTTGAAATACTACGGATTTTCTATCCAAGAAATATATTACCTTAGATGTGCTATTACGTGGTACTTTATTTGGCCTCTCAACTTTTTTTATTCGAGCGCCACTGGCGAGTCTTTTGTGGACGAAACTCGCGTCATTGGGAACTATACATAAGTCAATAATATTTGGTAGGTAAATGGTTTATGTAAAGATAATAAGTCTATCTGACAAATTTTATATGACCCTAAACTTTATGTCCATATGATATATTCACATCGTCTTAACCTCATTTACATGCTCCAGTCATCTGGATATTTTTTCCGGATTATGTCAATTCTTTGGCAATTAAAAAGACAGGGAATTTGGATTTGGTTTGTGGGGATATATCAGTCTAACATGCCATATTTTTACAGCACTGAGTCGATACCTCTGTTGTCTGACTATCAGTTCCCGAAGGTATCATTAGCTCAGTGGTCAGTACTTAGGTACTGACATGATTTATGTTTGCTCAGTCTTTGATTTCCTATGTTGTGTTGTGTACTCTTGCTTGTCTGTTTGCCTTTTTCTTTCTTAGCCATGGCGTTGTCAGTTTATTTTCGACTTATGAGTTTGAATGTCCCTTTGGTATCCTTCGCCTCTCTTTTATAACAAATCTTTCTAAAATTGTCCGTTTAAATTTTGAAATTACAATGAAACTAAGGTTTCATCTCCAGTAGGCAAGGTTGGTCTTAGATGGATTTGGCTATTTGTTTAGGTCCTTTTCGGTCATAAAGTTCTTCAACTGTTTCGGTTCTTAAGAATTCTTGGCTTTCAAATATTCGGCTTTGAGCGTACCTGATAAATTTAAGTCCAGAAAAGCGCTTCGGACACATGACATTTATGACTTGTTGTTTTCATATTTTATATACATTTTTAGTTGGGCAAATTTTTTAGCTTGATTTGCAAATACTGGTACATGATATTATCAATATTTTGTATGGGAATTCATGAAAAGTAACCTTGCACTCAAATTCAAAGTTATTTACCTTTAAAAAAAATATTGTATCTGGAAAGAGTTTAGTGTGTCAGTTATATTTTGATGGGACGTTATGAACATGATAGATCATGAGGCATTCAAATTTATCAAATTTGCGTGAACTCTTTACAGTTGCTATACAAACTACATTATCCAGCATTAATAGTCCTATAATGTTCGTTTCTAATATATATTTGTGTGTAATAAACAATTTACATTGTTGTTATTAGGAATCCTGTAAATGATGCCAGTCTGTTACCATGGAGTCGTTCTGTCTGTTCATTGCTGTTTGTTCTACGGGTCACTTCAATGACATCACCCTTCTTTAGTTCTAAAATAGCTTCCATGTCAGCAGTGTTATAATTTTGTTGTGCAGTGCTACGGGCGACTTCAAACCCGTTTTTGTTCATTTGCAGATGAACTATATCATTACTTTGCGACATCCCTGTACTTCCGAAACGATACAATCCATCAAAATGCGCAATGAATTTTCCTGTTTTCGGATTATAACCTTTACCAATGTTAGTGTATACATGATCAAAAACTATTGTTTGGCTATGCTCGAGGTCGATATCTCTGGTTGAAATTGCGTAAAAAGCGATGATTCCTTGGTTAATCAAAGCTAAAAAGAAAAAAGAGAGAAAATATCAAAACAAAATTGACAGTTAACGGCAGAAATATGAAAAATAAATCATTTAGATTTATACGTGAAATCAGCCGATCATAATGGTTTTACTTTGTCAACAGTATGAGGAAATCAATATAAGGCCACCGTGCTAACTAGAAACACGAGACAACAGGGAAATATGAGGAAATATCAATCAATCAATCAAACAGCTTTTTTTCTTTCTTTTTTTTTTTTTGCCATTTATCTTCTGAATCACGGACACTGAGAGAACTGAAACAATAACCTACACCGAGCAGTCCTTTCTATAACTACGTGATATTCTGTAAAATTCACCGATAACCACTGCAAATGTCTAGAGTTGAATGAATAATTTAAATTGAAATAGTTTATTAATTCTGATATTTAAAATAAATAAAAAGTTAAGTTGGCAATAATTTATATGGATAGATTCAACAGTGTGATCACTTTTACATCGAACTTGTACGGGTTTCTTGAAAAATGAGACCTGTCATATTTAGTTGAGGAATTTCGTTTTGTAAAATCACCGAAAAGGGAGCATTTTCGGGAAGGATGGCACACAACATGAAAATTTGTTTTGTTAACTGGTTTTATAACTGATTATTTTCAAATGAACTCATTTTAGCGCTTTTGTTCTGGATTTAACTTCTTTAAGAACGATTAAATCCAAAGATTTATAAGCTAAGGCCGAAAAAATACTTGAATATTTGAGGTTCTATATGACCAAAAGGGGCCTAAAAAATATTGCTAAATCAATCTGAGGTCAACTTTGCCTATGCCTGTTGAAGTTGGAACCTCAGTTTCTTAGAAAATTCTTAGCTACTAGTAATTAACCGAGAATATAAGAAAGGTACAACTGTTGTTTCTTACAAGATTATAATATCTGTCTAATATTCTTACAGTAGTCAATAAATAATATTTAGTAAAGTTGCTGTTGTGAAATCTCTTACCGTTAGTCTTTTCATTGCTTGTTGAGTTCCTCGAGTCCATTATGACATCCAATATCTCGTCTTTTGAATCTTTTATAAGTTGAGTTAATGCTAAATGTAAACATAATGTATTACAGTACAATGATAGGATTGTGTAAAAAGATTTTGTGTTACCATACATAGAGCCTGTGTGTTTCAAATCAATTATCACAATATCAGTGAGAAAACAATACAGTTATTTGGTTTGTATTCTCATAACCCTAGAGTCATAAACACCTAGTTTTAACTTTATCTATTATTCAGTATAAAATACAATACTATTATAGACGAAATCAGGTTTTATGGAACCTTGTCTTTTGGATAAGAAAAAAAATTATCAAACGGTTCTGTGGAACCTTGGGGCTTGCCTGCGATTGCTGCTATCAGTTTAAAAGTGTAAACCTAAGTCCATTTATAAGTAACATATACGGAAATGATGCTATTTCTTGATTTTATAGAAGTTTATTTCTAAGTTTAAAAACATGAAGATTTAACAAATGTATTGATGTCTAAAAAATGTAATTCGAGACTGTATGTAAATGTTAATTGCAAAGAGAACAGGGCCCACTTATCAATAAATTATGGAAATGAAATATATATTTTCTAAATTTAGATTTGGTTATTATGTCTTAATCATAAACAGAATTCTGCCAAAGCTTCATAAAATTCTATAAAGATTGAACTAAGTTATTGATGTCTTTATAACGAAAAACATATTTTGAAAATTTTGCTGTTTGCTGTTGATACTGTCTGCTGATCATTAAAATGTGTCTACCCATTTTTCATAACATTCCGTAAATGTTGAACAAAGTCTTTTGAAAAAAAAACTATGTCCAAGTTTCATAAAATTCCATTAAGGTAACACAAAGATATTAATGTTGAAAAATACCTTTAACCACAGACTGAACTTAGATGTTAATAATGACGACGCTGGCAAAGTTTACTTTTACGTTTACGTTGTAAGTCTTTCTTTTGGCTTATGAGCTAAATTCTATATAATAAAGTGTATAAATTCCGCTTTTTTCATTAACTTTGCTTGATCGATATTTATATCCTCACTCTTTACAACACCAACTCCCTGAATGTTACTTTGAACGTGCTAACTCAAAGGGTTACGTATTCAAGAAGAAATTACAGCCTACCCAGCTTATATTTAAATCTAAGAGCCGACAAGTCCTCAACATGCCTTACTTTTAAATTCCGCCTGCTTACCAGATGCATTAAAAAAACTATTTTGAAAATCTTTGGTTTCATCTGGACGTGGACAGAAATCACGAATTTCAGCACTCAGAGCATATACCAGCAACACCCCCACCCCCGTCCTTTACGAGACCACATTTTTACGCTTACCAAAAGACTGGATATGCCCTCTTCCTTTTTCTTGTCCTACAGAAAATAGAAGATAGCTCATTCCGATCGCAAACGAATATCCCAGAATTAATCCGCTGACTGTATATACCAACGTACGATTTCTGCTCCAAAATGTCTGTAATCGGCTCATGCTTAGTGCGTTTACAATAAACTATCTGTGAAGCTTAAAGATGACTTCACACATTTATCCAATTAATCAGGGTTTTTCCCAAATAAACCTGTGCCACATAAAGACAGGCACAAAAAGTAATTAGAGTACTGTGTACTTCATATGATTTATACAATTTTAAGTAGTTTATAATATCAATTTCGAGTGCCAGAAATTGTCGTTTATATTACACTCGACAATTTTCTTTATTCTATGTGCATACTATTTGAAAATCGGCTGTCTTTTTAATCTACATATTTCTACATGTAAAAGTTTATTTCCAGATTATTCAGTACCAATTCTGCTTTCAAGGAATTATCTAGCAGACCAATTAGAAGTAATCACCAACATTTGTTCTATTACGGTAGCATAAAAGGTGGTTATGATGCAACATAGTACTTATTAACTGATTTTTTTTATAAAATGTTATAAGTCATCTCACTTTTGAAAAAAGATGCTCAATAATTTGCTTGCCCTATCAAAACATGCTAAATTTGAGAAAATGCCTTCTTTGTTAAAACAATTACTAGTATGGTAAAATTAATCTCATAGTTTTGAGGGATGGTAATAAAGAAATTGTTAATTAAAATAATGGGTATTTAATCTCTTTTCCACTAAGATTATGTGCAAAACAAGAAATTTCTCTCAACTGCTACCTAATAAAAATGAAATGAAAACAAGAATACATTCAATGTACATGGTAAAAAAACATACAATACATTAAAAAAAAATGTTCAAATAAACTCATCATAGATCAAAATTATACAGGTTTGTTACTTAAAACAGTATACATTCCTTTCCAAGGACTAAATCAAAAGCCAGTATACCGATATTTAGGTAATGCTTATGTCATAAATCCGGGTATAAAACGTGCAAATAACGAAATCAAAGCAATCTACTGTTATGCATACATCACTAGTCATACCATTTCAATGTCACACTATGCACACATCCTATAGTAAAAGTCAGGTGCATAACAAGACCGGTTCTGATGTTCAGTGAACATGTTTGATGTCAGAATAACATAAGTGAACATGTCTGATGTTAGGCCAATATAAGTGGACATAACAAGCAAAGGAATAGCGCTTTTATTCCTGTTCTTCATTTAAAAGTCACAGAGAAGCCTTCATCGCGGAGCAAAACAACTCTCACCTCACTGCAAGTTTAAGACGACCCCTAACACCGGCTTGAGCGGAATTCTTTGAAAAAATAAAATAAAAAAGTATGTTAATGTAATCGACTTGTGCAAATGAATATTTGTCGATATGTTAGTAGTCCAGTCATACTATGGTTATACCTCAAACTAATTGCAGCAGAAATGGTTTTTGCGGAATTCATCGAAATAGGGGAGAGTCGTCAATTTTGGCGGGGAAAAAAATCAAGATTTTACTTCAAATATGGCAAGATATGGCGCCCGTAGATTGAGAATGACGATATGGGAGACAACTCGTAATGGCCAACTGCAGATGATGCATCTAGTGTCCATCCTTTTCATTCTGGTAAGTAAATATAAGACTTATATATAAAAGTTTTATATGTATTTAGCACTCTTAAGAGTAAAAGCTGTCATGCATGCTATTTTGGATGTTTTTGAAGGAGGTAAATACACGAGAGGCGGCGAAAAGGGGTTGTTGTCTCTTTTCGCATTCCCCGTTTCCATTCTCAATTTTATGAATTTTAGAACTGGCGAGCAAATTCCCGTTTTGAAGCAAGCAAACAAACAGGTCAAACGATCGACAACAGGACGACAAAGAGAAAATTATCAGAGAAAGCTTTCCTGCAAATTTTTAGACAATTAGAAGAAATACAAGACGAACCTGCAACCGTAAGCGATCTCGTTCAGGCTATGGAAAACATATGCAGAGAGAAGGCGTATAGTGTGGTGCACACGAAAAAGACACTGCAAACTCATTTTGGATCTGATATCATCACGGAAGTAAATGGAAAGTCGAATATAGTGACATTCAGGAAAACAGCATCATCTTTACTGAACGAGTTTTACATTAGACCATCATCTAAGAGTCCAGAAGATGAAAAACTAACGATGGTAGAAACAGCAGCTAGGCTAATCAAAGCGCCCGCTAACATGTTTAACCCCGCCACATTCTATATGTGCCTGTCTCCTAAGTCAGGAGCCTGTAATTCGGTTGCTGTCGTTTGTTTCTGTGTATCATATTTGTTTTGCGTTCATTATTTTGTACATAAATTAGGTCTCTGGAGAGTTGTCTCATTGGCAATCATACCACATCTTTTTATTTCTATATTATGAGTCTTAGATATTCAAAATCTGTATGTCCGACTTCTGTTGATATGAACTCACAGAAAAACACCGTCTTTGTCTTTGTCCCAGATTCTTTAAGGACATTTCTAAGAGCGTTATTTAGTCAAAACGACTCTGTTGTTAAGTTGCATCTGTTGGTCAAGCTATAATTCAGGCAACTCGACCTAAACACTTATTGCACCGATACAACTCGCCCTCAGTGTACAAATCCATCAAGTCACTTTGAATAAAGGTTTTTTGGGCATTTTGAACACTCTTGGATTTGCTTCTTCTTACACAGAGGTTTAAAGATTTGAACTAAATGCTGCTGCTGCTGTTCATGACAGAACGGATACACAGATTGGGAATGACACTTTCGTTCAGTATATAGCTGATAACGTAGACCATAATCTGCGAACTTTGGATGGTCATGGAACATTTCTTGGTATGAGCATGATTGCAGCTGTAACTCCAGGATTGATTTAGACTTGATAAAGCTGTCACAAGGCTGTCCCCAACACTAAAGGAAGTCTCAGAGTTGGCGAAGATTAACATAGGCTATTATAAGATGCAACCTAGACAATTGTTACAGGCAGAGTTCGAAACCATGGATTATGAGCCGAATATGGTCGATACAACGTGGAAGTTAGTATGCTGGCCTTTGACATGCAATCGACCTAGTTGGTCAGTCATCATGCACAAAGTGATGGACGGTGATTACCCAGGAAAATATTCTGTTGTTCTTTTGTCAATGATAGACATGAATCCTAGTGATCTTACATGTATAAATTCCACTCTTAACTTCATAAGCAAGCAAGCAAAAGCTCAACATTGTTCATCTATTTTGACATTTGATCAACCCCTCTATTGGAAGGCAATACACATAATTAAAGATGAGCCATTGAATAGTCCTTTAAAGTCAGCTATCTTGCGACTTGGAGGCTTTCATCTAGAAATGAGTTTTGTAGGCGGCATTGGTCCCTTGATGGAAGGATATGGAATTACTGAGCTACTTGAAGCAGTGTATGCACCGAATGCAGTAACTCATATGACTAGTGGAAAGGCTATTGCACGAGCAGTAATTGCAAATATCCTGATAGACACAGCTCTCATGGCAATAATCTTGTCACACATATACGGCATACCGCTTCCAGATCAAATCGGAAATGAGAGTGGCACCATTGATATTAATCCGGCAAATTCCACAGATATATACATTACTGATATCAACGCTGAGGCCCTTTTGGATGAGTTGCATGAAGCAGATGCGATGTTGGATGAACTACTGAATGGGAACATATCCGTGGAAAAAGCACGGAAAATGTTTTATCAGATCAAATAAAATCTAGAATAGATAACTTTCGGGTGTCGCACAAAAGTGTTCGTACTTCACAACTACTCCGTAGATTCATCTTTATGTGAAATCATCACGGGTATACTTACAACAAATTTAGAACTTTAAAACAACACACCCTGAAGCATAAGATTTTCTACAATCAGTTATCATGTGATAAGACGGAGTGATAAATTCTGGACAGGTCCTCTATATGATTTGGTCATAGAACATGTACGGTGTTAATGACAAGCTTAAAGGCGACAGGTGGTATGACTTGGGGCAGAGGTATGTCAGAGGGCTAGCGAGCCAAGTGGATTTTATCTATGCCAGACTGCGCGGAAATGAACAATGCTTTACAAGAGTTTACAGGAGTCAATAATGGAACAAGTGACCAACATAAAGAGGGCGGGTATTGCAAGAGTACGTATTGACAAACAAAACGTGCGTTCAAATACATACTTTGCCGCCAACATCAAATGCGGCTTCATTTCATAGTCATAGGGCTTGTCTTGAAATGAAAATGTGGATTGACAAGGACAATTTAAATCCGTGTGAATGGGGTTGGAAAGTCGTTAATGGAAAGCTTGTTCCAGTTAAGTGTACAATAGACACAGCTCCCTCTGAATTACTCAACATTATTTGATGCAGTTGTAAGACTAACTGTGACACTAAAAGATGTACCTGTAGAAAAAAAAAACGGACTTGAATGTTCAGTAGCATGTTGCGAATGTAAAGGAACTGGTTGCACAAATTCGAACAAAACAGTTGACATGGACGATTAAGTGACAATTAACTTCAAAAGATCAATGTAGAATAAAAAAAACTTATTTCGCATAGTTTAGGGGTTTGGGTAAAAATTACATTTTTCCGTAATCTTAATAACGTTAATTTTTTGGTTGCAGGAAAAAGTATCATACCGGTCAATCGGTTTTCATTGTTGTATTAAGATCTATTGACTTGACAAATTTATCGTTATTTGATCTCCCTCAATGTTTAACATATATAAAGTATATGTTTCGGAGTTTAGTGTGACTAGATATAAGAAGATGTGGTATGAGTGCCAATGAGACAACTCTCCATCCAAGTCAAAATTTATAAAAATAAACCATTATAGGTCACAGTACGGTCTTCAACAAGCCGTCCATTTTCTCTGAACCAGTATACATTTTTGTTTAGGGGCCAGCTTAAGCCCGCCTCTGGCTGTGTTGTTGGCCTTGGGCTGTTTTCTGCTCTTTGGTCGAGTTGTTGTCTCTTTGACACATTCCCCAATTTTATGAGATCCATCGATTTAAGACTCATATTCTATTGTGAGTTTAATTTTTTTTAAAGAAATATAAATTCCCAGTTTTTAGCGAATTTTCACTGAAAAAATAACATTTTCACCAAAAGTTTCCAATTTCCCGCACTTTGAAGTTCATCATATTTTTATAAATTCATTGTTGTAATAAGATCTAAGTATATGTACAACAGTTCACAAAAATCAGATAGAAAATTTGAAGTACATTCTGTTGCAATTAGTTTGAGGTTTGGTCATATTTTGGCTAAAAAGACTAGACTATAGTTGAATTTTGTTCTAATGTTCTGCTGTTAAAGCACTGGATGGAAAGAAAGTTCATGTTTAACCCCGCCACAGTCTCGATGTGCATGTCTCAAGTCAGAAGCATGTAATTCAGTGGTTGTCATTGGTTGATGTCTGTCATATTTTTTTTTTATTGCTGTTTTATTATGGTTTTCTTTTTTGCATTGTTTTATATTTTCTTATATAGGGGCCTTTGATAGCTTACTATACGGTATGGGTTTTCCTCATTGTTGAAGACCGCTTGGTGATCGACCTATGGTTGCTTACATTGATTATTTCAATAGCTGCTACAGGTCGAGTTCTGGTCGAAAAGCATTAAAAATATTTTGGGTGCAACTCTTTTTATTAGATTTTTTCATTAAATGAAAAAAAAAAAACATCACGTCCCTTTGGAAAAAATCAGGTCAGTGATTTGCTTACTCTGTGAAAAAGTATAATTAGAAAACAAATATACATTCTTTGAAAAAACAAATTTGTCATTAATGTATTCTATATTTAGGATAAAGCTGTATGTATATAATTCAGTCATGATGAAATGTCAAAATCAAGGATCGTTTCCTTTATTGTAACAGAAATCATCTTCCTCAAGGTACGATGACACACTCTTTTTTCAACTTCATATCAGTCCTTTTTTAAAACAGCAGTATTGTAACATACATTCAGGCGAAATTGACCTCTTCTCCTTTGCTTTTCTAAATATGTAATTCTATAGGATGAAATTTTTATCGTTTTGGTAACATTATGAGCGAAACTTAATACAGTGCCTTTTAAAAAAGTAATCTTAGAATGACCCTTATGCAAAAGATGATTTGTTACATTTTTCGATAAAACCCTTGTGAAAAAAGGTTTACTTAACATTCTGTAAACACATTCTTTTGAGAAAACAAAACGTATCATTATACCTACCAGTAGGTCCACACGCAGAGCTTAATAGACCTTCTTTGGAAGACTAAAATTGAGAATGGAAATGGGGAATGTGTCAAAGAGACAACAACCCGACCATAGAACAGACAACAGCAGAAGGTCACCAACAGGTCTTCAATGCAGCGAGAAATTCCCACACCCGGAGGCGTCCTTCAGCTGGCCCCTAAACAAATATATATACTAGTTCAGTGATAATGAACGCCATACTAAACTCCAAATTGTACACAAGAAACTAAAATTAAAAATAATACAAGACTGACAAAGGCTAGAGGCTCCTGACTTGGGACAGGCGCAAAAAATGCGGCGGGGTTAAACATGTTTATGAGATCTCAACCCTCCCCCTATACCTCTAGCCAATGTAGAAAAGTAAACGCATAACAATACGCACATTAAAATTCAGTTCAAGAGAAGTCCGAGTCTGATGTCAGAAGATGTAACCAAAGAAAATAAACAAAATGACAATAATACATAAATAACAACAGACTACTAGCAGTTAACTGACATGCCAGCTCCAGACTTCAATTAAACTGATTGAAAGATTATGTCTTCATCATATGAATATCAGGCACAATCCTTCCCGTTAGGGGTTTAGTATCATACCATCATAACATATATGAGAAGAACATAACCCGTGTCATGCAGAATGCATATATTTTTTTTTCTTCAAATTTTACATTATTCACGTTTAGAAACTCAAAACATAAAAACTTTAAACACTTTTGTGTTGACATGAATTATCATTGATTCATGTATTGTCATATTTATACATTAGCTGATTTCAAAAATGTATTTGTTCGAAATACTATGGATTGTTTACCCCAGGAATACATTACCTTAGCTGTGCTCTTACTTCGTTCTTTATTGGCCTTTTAAGTTTTTTGATTCAAGCGTCACTGATGAGTCTTTTGTAGACGAAACTCGCGCCTGGCGTAGAAAATCATAAGCCTGGTATCTTCGGCGAGTTATACTAATTAAAAAGAGTCCAATATATAAACGTAGTACAAAATACATTCAGAAGGAATATAAACCTGTGGTGATATTCAATATGAATTATAACACATTATTTTAAAAGACGAAAGACAGACATTGTCAAATTCTTAGTGACTGACCAGAGACACTGCAAATTTACAATCCATTGAGAGACGTAAGTTTTCAGATAAAGTCTCTGTTCTATACATAAGTCATAATCCTATAATGTTTGTTTCTAATATATTTTGTTCGTTTGGCATAATCTACATTGTTGTTATTAGGAACCCTGTAAATGACGCCATTCTGTTACCATGGAGTCGTTCTGTCTGTTTATTGTTGTTTGTTCTACGTGTGACATCAATGATATCGCCCTTCTTAAGTTCTAAAATGGCTTCCATGTCAGCAGTGTTATAATTTTGTTGTGCAGTGCTACGGGCGACTTCAATACCGTTTTTGTTCATTTGCAAATGAACTATATCATGACTTTGTGACATCCCTGTACTTCCGAAACGATACAATCCATCAAAAGGCACAATGAATTTTCCTGTTTTCGGATTATAACCTTTACCAATGTTAGTGTATACATGATCAAAAACTATTGTCTGGCTATGCGCGAGGTCGATAGATCTGGTTGAGATTGCATAGAAAGCGATTGTTACTTGCTTTATCACAGCTAAAAAAAAAGAAATAACACATCAAAATAGACATTTAATGGCAGCAATATATGAAATAATTAAATTTAGATTTAGACGTGGAATCAGCTGATCATAACGGTTTTCTTTGTCAACAGTATGAGGACATCGATATTAGGTGGATAACTGGAAACAAGATACAACATTCCCATGATACAGGAAAATAAGACCATTGTCAATCGAACAGCGTTTTTATCGCTGCTGTTCAGCTTCTGAATCACGGTCACTGGAAGAACTGAAAGTATTGTCATATCGTAAATATGAAACGATAACCTACACTGAGCACTCCTTCTTTACTATTACTTGATATTCTTTGTTATTCACCGAAAACCACTACAAACGTAGTTTATTGTATAATACAAAATGAAAACAACACGTTATCAATTTTTCTGGATTTACCTTCATCAGGAACTCTCAAAGTCGAATACTTGAAAGCCAAGGATGTATAAGAACCGAAATCGTTGATGAGCCATATGGGGCAATATGCGTAATTGATTTTACATAGGCGGTAATGGTAACGTTTTCCTCTGTAGCACAGTCCATATCGTAAACTTAGATATGCATGATGGCTCATTTCGAAGCTGAGACATTTTCACATATGTGGTTAAGTTTTCGGGGTACAAAGTGTGATTCATTTTTCCGTAAATTAGCACACCCCGAAAATCCTTTCGTGATGCGGCTCCTGGTGGTAAAAAATCCCTTTTTTCACACAATAAGTTCTTTGAAAATTCAATACTTTGCATATATTTAATAACTGCATAGTTTTTACACATTTATTCTATGGTCTTCTACTTTTCAAATCAACACAAATGGTTAAGCTCAGTCAATTGTTAAAAATAGAAACATGTCCAATATCACTACACAGAGTTTTTTGTTTACACACAACTTTTGTGTTCCTCAATTTGAGGCGCATTAGGGATATTGACCCATATGACAAAAAAGGACCTAAAAAAATTTTCTTACTAAAATGTCTATAGTTGAATAAATAACTTAAATTCAAATAGTTTATTAACACTGATATTCAAAATGAAAAAAAAGTTTACGTTTGCAAAGTTTCAAATGGATGGATCCAACAGTGAAAAATCACCAAAAAGGAGTATGTTTGGGCAGGATCTCATACAACTTGCAAATAAGTTTTGGTAACTAATTGGTTTATTTTCGTTTCTCTAGAAGACATCAATTTACCGCAGAAATAGCGTTCATTCAAAAAGTGAAGCTGTAAAAGTGTATTTGATACATCATCTATTTATTTATTAGATTATTCAGAAATATTTATAAGTAGGTAAGTAAGTAGGTATATTATAAAAATAGGAAGATATGGTATGATTGCCAATGGGACAACTCTCCACCAGATACCAAGTTAACAACTCTTTGTCACCGTATGGCCTTCAGAAATTGTCAAAAACCATACCGTATAGAAAGCTATAAAATGCCTAAATGACTATGCAAACCAATTCAAACAGGAATTCAAACTAACGGCCTGAAATATCTACAAAACAATAAACGAAGATTATAGTATATGTCTAAAATGCTCAAAGTAGCCAATACATATTTTTATCAAAATATAATGTTGATTTATATTTCGATGAATTAAACTAGAGAAGAGCTAAAACCATGTATGGTCCTACATTGGTTCTACATTGGTCTCTGGTGGATAGTTGTCTCATTGGCAAGCATACCACATATTCGTATTTTTAAATGTAAGATATAAAGGAGAAGGAGGAGGGAAGCGGGAGAGAGGAGTGTTGCTGTTTTGAAATCACTTACCGTTAGTCTTTTCATTGCTTGTTGAGTTCCTCGAGTCCCTTATAACATTTAATATCTCGTCTTTTGAATCTTTTATAAGTTGAGTTATTTCTAAAAATAAACATGATACTAGTATATTATAGTGCCATGGAAGGTTTGTGTATTACTCCTAAAAGATTTATTGGTACCATACAAATAGCCTGTGTATTTCAAATGAGTTACCGCGAAAGTTAATACAATATCAGTGAGGAAAACCAATACTATTATTTGGTTTGCTTGCTCATAAATCTAGAGCCAGAAACTCCTAGTTTAACTATATTCATCATTCAGACCAAAATACAATTAGGAAAAAAAACAGGTTTTATAGGGCCTTGTCCTTAGAATATTAGCAATAGCCAAAAAGGTTCCGCGGAACCTAGTGTTTCGCCTGCGATTGCTGTTGTCCTTATAAAAGTATATTATGTTGATCGCCAAAAACTTTCTCAGTGGATATTTAGCGGATACAAAGTACATTTTCATGTGTAAAAATCATAATAACCCTGTATATATGTATATATAAACAAGTCTAAATTGAAAACAACGTTCAAACCTATGATTGCGTTGGATAGAAACCGCAATTTTTATACGTGTGCATGTAACAAAATTTCGTTGTAGAAGGGTCTAAATACAGCACAAACAACATTTTCCAAAAGACCAAAAGAGTGAAAAAATATATTTTAACAAAACGCACTTTGACTAGCCGGTCGAACAACTGATGTTCTTAAACCCTGCTGACTGCCATTGACGATTGCCATTGACGATGTATATATATATATATATATATATATAGATATATGTTAAAATATACTTTTTCACTCATTTGGTCTTTTGGAAAATGTTGTTTGTGCTGTATTTAGACCCCTCTTCCAAGAAATTTGTTTTGCATGCACACGTATAAAAATTGCGGTTTTTATCGTCGAAATCCGGATATGGTGTACAAACTTTTGCACCTCATGTTTGTGGTATACCATCTTTACCACAAGTTTATTGTTTTCTGTTTGGTATTAAATTAATATTAAGATCCATTTTGTACTGGTGATCAATTTATTTGGCAATCGCCAATGGCAGTCAGCAGGGTTTAAGAACATCCGTTGTTCGACCTGTTAGTCAAATGCGTTTTGTTAAAATATACTTTTTTCACTATTTTGGTCTTTTGGAAAATGTTGTTTGTGCTGTATTTAGACCCCTCTACCAAGAAATTTGTTTTACATGCACACGTATAAAAATTGCGGTTTTTATCCAACGCAATCATAGGTTTGAACGTTGTTTTCAATTTTGACTTGTTTATATTTTTTCCGTTTGGGCTTGTATTATATTTTCCTTCGGGTTTATATGATCCGTTCATCCTATTTCGACTCTTTAAAATTCAAGAGTCTATCCTAAATTGGGGTAAATTATATGGCCTTCCAAATACCATTTAATCCGGATATGGTGTACAAATTTTTGCACCTCATGTTTGTGGTATACCATCTTTTCCGCAAGTTTATTGTTTTCTGTTAGTAATTAAATTAATAATTAAGATCCTTTTTGTTACATCTGGTGATCCGTTTACTTGGCAATCGCCATGGCAGTCAGCAGCGTTTTGTTAAAATATACTTTTTCACTTTTTTGGTCTTTTGGAAAATGTTGTTTGTGCTGTATTTAGACCCCTCTACCAAGAAATTTTGTTTTGCATGCACTCGTATTAATATTGCGGTTTTTATCCAACGCAATCATAGGTTTGAACGTTGTTTTCAATTTAGACTTGTTTATATATATATATGTATATATATATATATATATATATATATATATATATGTGTGTGTGTCAGTTTCCTTCAAATTGACTTACTGTTGACCTGTAGAAATAGAACGGCATTTGTTCTGTTGACAGCTTTCCTTATATCCACTGAGGTGATATTTAGAATTCAGTTGTGTAATAAGAAGTACAGCTGTGCATGTAGTAATTTTGTGTCATGGGTGGATACCCAATTTCCTTTGTTTTTCCATTACAATATATACACGAGTTTGATGAAGGTTTACTTTAATCTCTTGTGCACTAATTACGGCAATTTGAAAAGGAAAATTTCATGAAAACTGGAAAATTTCATGAAAAAGAATTTACTTCTACGTGTGTATATATTCTGCTTTTTTTCGATTGTCACATTATAGTGACTTTTACGTTGCTTGATGGCTATGATAACCCTAATCTTTACAACACCAACTCCCTGAATACTACTTTGATCGAATAAGCTCACAAGTTTACGAACGTTAGAAGACATTACACCCTACCCAATATATATATCTATATCTAGAAGACTTACTCCTTAATTCTGCATGCTTTGCAGAAGCAGCAATAAAAAAAAAACAATTTTGAAAAATTTGGTTTCATCTTGACGGGGACCGAAAACATGATTTTCAGCATCCGGGGCAAGCACCAACAGACTACCACGAGACCAGTGAGGCAGTTTAATTTATTTTCAATAGTCTATATATATCTATATATTTTTACGCTTACCAAAAGACTGTATATGCCCTTTTCCTTTTTCTTGCCCTATAGAAAATAGAAGATAGCTCATTCCGATCGCAAACGAATATCCTAGAATTATTCCGCTGCCTGTATATACCAACGTACGGTTTTTGGTCCAAAATGTCTGTATTCGACCCATGTTTGGTGCGTGTATGATAACTATCCGTGACGCTTTAAGAAGACGTCTACGTTTATCATATTAATCAAGTTTTTTTTTCCAAATAAATAAGTGCGACATTAAGAAAGCCACAAAAAGTAATTAAGAGTACTTTGTACTTCATATTATTTAAAGGTAATTTATGTTAATACTAATGTTATGCAGACGACGGAAACCATTAATTAGTTTCTAAATTTACATTTTCCTAACCCTTGTGGAACCCCTGCATTACGATATTTTGGCTTGGTCGCCGTTGGTCAGTTTCTACGTAATGTATCTTATTATTACACATTCTTGCTGATCTACAGATCGATAATTTTGTAAAAAGATTTTTACTTTGTGATTTTTTATTGTAGTAGATTATTTCTATTTCGCATCGTTCAGCTATGGGACAAGCAGTCTTAACCCTTGCTAACCATTGTTGACTGTCTTAAAGTGAAAACATATTCAATACTTTCTAAACCATTGTCTTATTCTATTATTAATGGCAACCTATTGCATCGACTTGAATTTGACAAAAAAATTCTGGCATCTTTTGGTATCGATAGCTCAAGATATAAGGGACATAGCTATCGCATTCGTGAAGAATTTTGTACAGCTGAGAGAGGCTTGTCAGATTCACAGTCCACATGCTCAATAAGACGTTGGAAATCTTGCCTCTTTCAAAAACACAGTAGACATCATTTGAATAATAGGTTTGGTATTATACCTGCTTGGGCCGGTACAATACTTTAAAGAAGACCTCAATTGAAAAATTTATTGGCATTTCTGTCTCAATTACCTGTTTGTGTAGGTTGTTATAGAGATATTAAAAGCATTTTTGTTTTTCTTAAATTCTCCATAAAGTGTGTCTTCCATCATAAAAACTAATTTTTATGCACAAGATATGAATGAGGCATAACTGAACCGCTTGGGCCGTTAATTTTTATTATAAAATGTATGCTTAATTCAATCTCTTATCTATACATTTGTTTATATTTCTTGCTCATCTAGTTTGGTTTATTGATATGGAAGCAACATGCATGTTATTGAAGGTTAAAATTGTCATATAGTTGATTTGATAATTGTTGACAAGGACATTGTCTTAATCATTAATTTACAGGACTTGTTTGAGATGGTATTGTGTACTAGTCGTTCAATTATTATTCATCACATTCAGTATTTTCACGGGTGCTTAGTTGACCCCTATAGTATTCTGTATTATTGTATTATCGTTTTATGTTTTTCATTCATTATTATCGTGTTGTACAAATGTACCCGGTATATATTGTTTATTTTTGCATGAGAACATGCATTTTTACCCTGAATAAGTAAACATTTCGCAATTCTCCTTGTTGCTTCATTTTCTTGTATGCATTGCCAAATAAAATATAATAACATGAGCTACTCGCTGATCCATACAAGTGAATATTAAATCTCTGGTGGTTTGTATTTGGTTGTAGGAGGAAAGCATAAATAATTTTAAGTAGTATATAATATCAATGTCGAGTGCCAGCAATGGTCGCTTTCATTTACACTTGACAATTTTCTTTATTCTATGCACATACTGTATAAAAATCGGCTTTTTAATGTACATATTTCTACATGTACATGAATGTAAGTTGTTTTTTTCACATTACTAGTATTCAGTATCAATCCTGATTTCAAAGAATCATCTAGCAGAGCATTTAGAACACAATCACCAACATTTGTTCCATTACGGTAGCATACAAGCTTTTGAAAAAAGAGAACTTAGAAATTTGCTTGCCCTTTACAAATATGCTAAAATATAAAAACATGAGCTACTCGCTGATCCATACAAGTGAATATTAAATCTCTGGTGGTTTGTTTATTTTAAATAAAATTGAGAATGGAAATGGGGAATGTGTCAAAGAGACAACAACCCGACCATAGAACAGACAACAGCAGAAGGTCACCAACAGGTCTTCAATGCAGCAGAATGTACAGCTGAGAGAGGCTTGTCAGATTCACAGTCCACATGCTCAATAAGACGTTGGAAATCTTGCCTCTTTCAAAAACACAGTAGACATCATTTGAATAATAGGTTTGGTATTATACCTGCTTGGGCCGGTACAATACTTTAAAGAAGACCTCAATTGAAAAATTTATTGGCATATATTTCTGTTGATCTAAATTTTATTTAAAATTGAAAAATGACTCCTTTGTTAAAACAATTACCAGAATGGTAAAATTAATCTCAATGTTTTGAGGGAAGTTTATAAAAAGTAATAATTTAAAATTAAACGCGTCTTTAATGATCTTTTCCTCTGAGATTATATGCGAAACAATAACTTACTTAAAAGTGTTATCTTATTAAAATGAGAAGAAAACAATACATGCAATTTACAATTGCTTGTGGTAAAAAAGACAATTTTTTTTTCTTCTAACTTATACGGGTTTGTTGTTTAGGTAATACTTGTATCTTATAAATCCAGGTATAAAACAGGCAAACAATGAAACCAAAGCAGTCGGAATGCCTTTAAATCCAACGAGAGTGATACGGGGTGTAGTCATCTGCTGCTATACATACATCAGCCGTCATACCATTCCAATGTCACACTATTCACATGCCAAAATCAAAGTCAGTTAGTAGACATGTTGATGTTATTTGATTATAATGCGTCGTAGGGTTGCTGTCTCATTGAAATATACCGAAATTTCTTTTTATTCATATTGATCTGTGGTAACGTGATAACGTTAATTTTCAGTCGTCATTCCTTATAACCTTGCAGAAGCAGTTGTTTAAATGAGTGTATAGTAATGCCATTGACTTGTGCAAATATCTTTTTGTTTTTGTTTTGGTTGTGTTTTGTTGTAATTTTCCTGTTTTGCGGGTTCATGATTAACCTCGTTAATTTCTGTACTGCATGTCCTAATTTGTTTGATAGTTATCTACAAATCATACCACATTTCCTTAATTTTATATTCTGATTAACTTCAACAGTTGCTACTTATATTTATTGACGGAGATTAAAACGGGACATTTTCGTTATGCAAGAGGAGTGTCGGTTAACAGTAGACAATGATTTTAAAGAAGGGATTGTGTATAAATTTACACACTTGACAAAAACCAAGGAAAAGAAACAACTATTTTCTTGAATGAGGTTTATTATTAACAATGAAGCCATTGACCACAGTTTCATAATGGATGAAGCTGAAGTCATCTCCGTGAAAGTGTATTTGTGACGCATATATTCCATGTGTCCGTCGTAGCATAGATGTATAAACCCATAGATAAAGCTCGTCAAAAGTTCCCTACTGTTCTCTATTGTTAGATAAAAAGAACCATGACCAAATTGACTGTCTTTGATGTTCCATGTGTGTTGTCCTCAATCAAGTAACTCTAGCTACATCTCATTTCTGTTGATCTATATTGACCAGTACAGCAGAATAGATTTTCTTAATTATCTTCTCGAGTTATGTCCCTTCTGTTGTGAGAGTATGTCTATTTTTAGCGCACTGGACAGACAAATAAAATGGTGAAAAAATCGATGAAATCGGTCAGAAATTGCGCATTTTACAAGGGAAATATTGAACTAAATTAAAAAAATGTTTTTTTTAAGGCGTGTATCTTTATATTTTATAAAAACTATGTTCCTGTTAGTTCCAAAAATGGGAATAGCACGTTGTTGAACTTTCTCTTTGATATGCTTCATTAAGGTGTCGAACTGCGTCGAATTTGGGAAAAAATTAATAAGAAAGTACATTATTTTCTTTATTTCATCAGTTTTTCTACATTTTTAGAAGAGAAATTGTTTTTTTTTTTTTAAATCATTTTTATATTTTCGAATAAGTTATAGTTACTTAATCATAGATGTATTTTATACATCTATGGCTAAATTATAATAATTTCATTCAAGATGTTTATTAAATTAGTTTAAGTAAAGAGTTTTAGTGTGCAACCAAAACATTTCATGTAAAGCATGATAAATAAATATTATGGAGCAATATATTCAAACTTTTTCCATGTTTTCTATTAATTATATTTTCGATAGACTTGTTTATAATAGTTAACATCAGTGTTTAAATAAAGTTAAATTGTGATAAATTATATAAAATCTAAAAATGTAAATATGATGAAAACATTACTTCTGGCTAAAAAAAAATATCCGCATTTATTAATTTCTTTTCGAGAATAATTTGTAATATTGTTTTACCTACAAGAACATTATTTTTTCATCATAACCAAGTCATTCTAAAATATTTTGATTTTATTTCTTTCTGATTTTTAGCATGTTTTACTGTTAGTAGCTTTTGATTGTCAGTTTTCTATTTTCTAGATTGTCAATCCGCATCTCAATGACTAACTGGTTCATGTCATTATCAGATAAATGTGAAAGCCATTACAACGCACATAGAACCTTTGAAGTCAGTGTTGAGCTTCATCATCTATGGTCGTAGACACAATCCCATCCATTTTATTGTGAAATCATCGAATACTAATTATCGCCAAAAAATTAAATTACCATGAACAAGATAACGACTGCCCCTAGTGGAATAAGAACTGCTTACTCTTCATGTGCACATGGGTGTAACTCTTGTTTTCGGTTGGGTATCGTACATGTACGTTGCTCAATCTTTAGTTTTCTGTGTAGTGTTTTGTGGACACTGTGTGTGTTTGTCTTTCCTTTTTTCTTTTGTCCATAGTGTTCAATGGTCTTTTATTCGACTTGCGTTTTAACTGCCTCTTTGGTATCTGGTCAGCTCTTCGTTTTTGTCGAGCCAGCGACATATATGTCGCGAAAGTAAGACATATAGCAATCCTAAGTTCCGTCGTCGACGTAGGCAGCGTTAACATTTAGGTTCAGTCTGTGGTTAAAGTTTTTTAGACATCAATAGCTTATCAAACCTTCATGGAATTTTAGGAAATATGAACAGAAGCTTGATTATGACCAAAAGACAGTATCCAGGGCAAAATTTTGAAATTATTTATTTTAATTCTTCCGTAGTTTACAGATAAATGGAATTTTTTTAAACGGATAACAAGTTAATACAGACTGAGGTTAA